CCTGGGTGGTGGTCAGGGAAGGCTTCCTGGAGGAGGGAGTGGCTGAGCTGTGAATTGAAGAAGAGAGGTTAACCATGAGAAAGAGTACAGGACACATTTCAGCAGGAATAATGGCACCTGCAGGGGTCTGGAGCCAGGATGATGTGACCTCCTGGAGAAATTGAAAATCATTCCCTGGAGCTAAGAAGGAAGGAAATAGCAAGTTGGAAAGAATGTGTATTGAACTGGGTCCTCTAGTGAGGTCAGAGGTTGTAGAAAAATCACTGGTTTTATTTTGTTGTCATGAAGGTTTTAAACAGGACAGTGGGTGACCCAGATAATGCCCTCCCCTCAAATTCAGAGGCATCAGGATCTTCCCAAGGCATTGTGTCCAAGTCAACTGGGGAGCTGAACTTGAACTTGGTACACAATCCCATGTTCCCCTTCATGAGCCAGCACATGGACTCTCAAGTCAGACAGTCCTGGGTGTGAATCCTGACTTTGCCACTTCATACCAGTGTGGGTATGTCACCCTGGGCAGGTGACTTTATTTATGAACCTCAATTTCCTGGCCTGTAAAATTGGCATAAAATCCCTATTGGATTTTTGCAAAGATTAAATGAGATAATTAAACGATTTAACATAGTGTTCTCAATAATAAGTATTATCTAATATAAGAATTATTATATAATGATAATTATTAATATTATTAATAATAATCACAACCTTGATTCTGTAACCTTTTGGTGGCTGGATAATTCCCCAAATCTCTCCTTTACTCTCCTAGCCCTAAAGTTCCACCTGGGTTCTCCCATGATAATTATAGCTACTTCTCAGCCATTTCCCATATTTTTATTATTGTCTAATCCACATCACAATCTTGGGAGGTATATGTTTTGTATACAGATTTTACAATTATGGCAACCAAGGCTCTGAGTGGTTAAGCCACTAGTCCCAAACCATGCAGCTAAGTATCAGATCTGCAGACCCTTGTGCCTATTGTATTGATAGGAAAACTGAGGTTCAGAAAGATAAGGTATCATGCCCAAGGCTGCACAGTTGGCAGGTGGCAGAGCTAGGATCTGAAGCCTTGTCTTGAGATTTCTGGACCCCCAGGGGGCTGAAGTGCATGATAGGACCCAGCCTTTCAGCCACCTGACTCCTTCGAGATAAGCAGGGTAGGTGGAAACCTTTCATTCCTGCTTCCCCTATTTGGGGCCCTTTATGCATATGTTTCTGAACAGCAGTCCCTCCTTCTGGAATGCCCTTCCCACTGCCTGCTCCCATTCTCCAAAAATCAGGTCAGGGTTAGCTCTTTTCCAGGAGACATTTTCTAAACCTCATTTGAATCACTCTTAGTGGTTGATCCCTCTTCATGTTAATGTCTGCAGTGTCATTTTTACAATGAGTTGTATTTTATTTTTAAAATACTAATTCATTCGGGGAATAGGTAAAATCGCATATGTGGCTCAAAGCTCAAAAGATTTAAAAGGGTATTGAGTAAAATCTCACCTCTTGACCCACAGCCACCCCCAACCCCTACTCCCTGCCAGGTGACACTAATGTTTCTATATTTCTCCAGAGATGTTCTAGCATGTATAAGCATCTCATAACAAATATATTGTTTTCCACTTTTTTCCACAAATGATACATATGTTACACTGTTCAGTTTTGTTTTTGTATGTCTTGGAGACCATTTCACATCCCTACATGATGAGGTTCCTCTTCAGTGGCTACATGGTTTTGCATTGTCAGACTATAAGGAATTTATACCAATCCCCTATTGATGGACATTTGGGTTGTTTCCAGACTTTTGCTCTTAAAAACAGCACTGCAGCTGAGAACCCTGTACTTGAGTCTTTGTTGTCAGTCCCAGGAAACTGTGATAGAGAACAGAGGCCGGGCTGGGTGCCAAGGGAGTTTGCATCCTGATTCTGCAGCTAACTCTGCAACCCACTCAACTCAGCTCTTGGTACCTTAGTGTCCCCAGCCTTTCATTCTTTCAAACAATATTTACTGAACACCCACCAATTCTAGACACTGGTTAACAAGCAGTGAACAACAAAGGCAAGGTACCCTTCTTGGTGCTGACGTTATAATGGGGAAGGGGCGATAAATAATCGGCAGGTAAATAAATACAGAACATAGTGTCAGAAAGTAAAGTAAATAGAATAGACCAGAATAAGGGGACAGGATCCAACAAGGAATGCAGAGAATTTAGATAAAATGTCCATCTGCAGCAATGACATGTGAACTGAGATCTCAATGAGCAGGAACACTGTGCCAAGATCTGGGAAGAACATTCCAGAAAGGGGCTCACAGCTGCAAAAGCTTCTATGTCAGAACTAGTTTGCTGTGCTTGAGGAACATAGTGGATGCTGGTGTGGTCAGAGTGGAATGAACTAGGGGAGATGAAGAAGACATGATCCGAGGTGTGGCCTTGGAGACTCTTATGACGAGTCTGGATTTTATTCCAAGTGCAACAGGAAACCACTGGAATGGTGAAGCAGGGGAATGATGATGTGACTTAATGTGCTTTTTTAAAACATTACTTCATGACCTAGCCATTCCACTCCTAGGTGTTTAAGAGAAATTAAAACATATAGCCACACAAAGACTTCTGTGCAAATGTTCATAGCAGTTTTATTCTAGTGGCCCAAACTGGAGAAACAACCTAAATATCCATCACAGAAACACCCTGTGGTATATCCATACATGGCATACCACTCAGCAATGCAAAGGAGCAAACTCTTGATACAACATGGGGGAATTTCACGAACATGCTGAGCCAAAGAACCTCACCATACCAAATCCTCTGATATGTGGCCATGGAGTCATCCTACAGAGGATCTGTTTTCTTGGGGACTTTTTCCTCAGTGTGGGGACTCTGGATTCAGTTTTAGCAGGGCTGTCTGTTTGCCTTGTCAGTGTGAGTTAATCTTTAGGAAGCATCCTTACACTGGTCCAATGAGCATTCTCTAACTCAGCACTATCCACTAGAAACAAAATGCAAGATACATATATGATTAAAAAACTTCTAGTAGTTACATTAAAAAAGGGAAAAACAAACAGGTAAAATTAATATATGTTATCCAATCCAATATATCCTAAATGTAATCAATATAAGAAATATGTCCCTGTTGATACTTTTGACTTCCCGTTACCACTCCAAGTCTCATATCCATGCTGCAATTTCCTTCTAATGCACCTGGTTTTGTTCTTGCCTATAGGGCTTTGCATATGCTATTCCAGGCAGCTAGGAATGGTGTGAGGCTATTCATCTTTCATACAGTCCTGTTTGCTCTTCTGCCTGACCTTTTGGACTAAAAGCTCCAAGAAGGCAGACACCATATCAGTCTAATTCATCATCTCCAACCTCAGCACAGTTCCTGAGGTTGTGCAGTGCAGTTAGATATCTATCTCATTGAGAGAATTAATGAATGACCTTATCTACTGTTTCTTTCATTAAACTGTGAACTTCTTGAGGAAAGGGACTATGGTTTGCTGTGTTCCAAGTGTCAGGTACAATTACTGTGAGTCATACAGCTTATATAAATTGGGCATCTCCTATGTGCCACACACATACTAAGTATGGATATGTGTGAACAGAAAGGGACATGTTTCCTGCCGTTACGTGCTTTTAGTCTGATAGGGAGAGAGCCATTTACCAAATGATCCCATTAACTAAGTGTAAATTGCAGTGGTGAGAAGTGCCTACAAAACAAAGGTACATGAAAAGTGTTGTGGGGGCATGGAATAGTGACTGCCTAGTTGAGGAGCAGTCCTGGCTCTTGAATTTTAATGTCAGAGGACTTGGCAGCCACAGAGGTGAGCCTCTTGGATCTGCCTTCAAAAAACAGCTTCTCATCCAGATCGAGGAGTTACAGATGGCAGATGCAGGGCCTTCAGGGCAGCACCACATTCTTCCTGGGCAACACCAGCCAATGGCTGACCATGGGTATATTTCTGCCCACTGGGGACTCCTCTAAGGAATTTTTGTTCTGGGGGCTCCCTGTGGGGATGGCCTGAGTCTTTGCCCAATCCTGTTTCTTCCCCTTTCTTTTGCAGGGTGTTGCCCCAAACTCTGTCTCAACATCTGTTTGGAGGGCCTGACCTGACACACAGGATCTAGAGGGTTGGATTCTTGTGGACAGAGGAGCTTGAAGCTGCAGAGCATTTTTATTTAAAATCGACAAACTACCATCACCCATTCCAAAGAGTGGGGAAAGGCTGGTGGTAATAACTACTTCTATGAGAATTAATGTACATAATGGCTATATAGTACTTGGCACTCAATGAATGGCAGCTGTTGTTATTTCTTGATTTCTGAGTGTGTGGGAGCAGAGCCCCTCTGGGGTCTGGGGTGGCAGTGGGGTGTTCCAGAAACTGTTGGCACCACTGTAACCTCTCTGGAGTTTTTCCTCTCAGGTTCCCTCTGCTCCAGGCAGTTTTGGAAAAGTCTTCCTCTTGGGAGGGTGACCATGGGGAAGACTACAGGATATATAAGCTTGGAAGTATTGAATCTGGCCCCAAAGGCTGGGCTGCTAGCTGTACTTCAATTGTTCCAAAGGGCAACCCCAGGAAAGGTCCTCCCAAATTTCCCGGCCTTGCATGCATGGTACTGATTTAGGGTCCTCCTGGGAGATGACCTACTGGGAGACAGACAGAAGGACAAACGGGGGACGGACAGGTGATGAGTGACTGATGAATGGATAGACACAAGTCAGACTGAGATGGCAAGACAGGCGAATGGATCTGTCGGGCAGGTGGGCAGGCACGTGACTGACTGATGATGCATGGGCCTGGAGGCCAGGGAGCCTTGCACCTGCCAGCTAGGCCACCAGAGGGCAGCGCCGCCCCGACCAGCGCTGCTCAAGGCCAGCAGGGCGCGCTCGGGGCGGGGCGGGGCCAGCGTGCGCACGGGGCGGAGCCGGCATGCACGCGGGGGCGATTGCGGGCTGGGCGCGAGGCGGGTGGGCGGCAGGGGCGGGGCGCGCGTGCTCGCGGGGGCGGCCGGGGGGCGGGGCGCACGGCGGCCGCGGGCGCGCGCGGTGGCTGCGCTTTCCGTTCTGGGCCGAGGCTCGCGGAGGAAAAGTTGAGGGGCTGAGAGGAGCTGCTTCGGGACAGGCAGCGAGCGCGACGCTGAGCCGGTTCCTAGTGCCCGCGGCCCCGCCATGGACGACCTCGGTGAGTGAGCAGAGGCGGGGGGAGGAGGCAGCTAGCGGCGCGCGGCCCCGGCCAAGCGGGCGCGAGCGGGCGGAGCGGCGGGGGCCTCGGGATCCCACCCGCGGCGGGCAGCGTCCCGGCTCCGGTCCCTGCCGGACCGGGCTCCGCGGGACTGGGCTGCCGGGCTGGGCCTGAGTCCCCGGCCAGGCCAGTCCCACCGCCGTTCTTACAGCCGCCACCCCCCGCCTCGGGGACGGACCCACCCGCGTTTCCCAGACCGGCCGCAGGGACCAGCTGGCACCTCAGGGACCCGCCCCGTCCGCCTCAGGGACGGGACCCCCCAGTGCCTGCAGACCACCTCCCGAGCCGTAGGAGGCTCACTTCCCAGACCCGTCCCTCCACCCCCACCTCACAGATCGCCACCCCACCGCCCAGCTCGGGGAGCAGCTGCCTAAACTCACCGGCTGGTCTCTCATTTCCAGGACCTGCTCTCCAAACTGGAGGACCGCCCCCCCCACTTGACAGACTGGCACCCTAACTTAAGAGAGAGCTCCTCCAGCCCACTGCTTTCATTTCACCCCCACTTCCGAGGTAGCCTCTTCAGCCCACTCCTTTCAAGTCAGATTCACAAGTTAGAAATGAGCCTCAGATGACATCCCTGCAAAGGCAGGTTCCCATCTGTCCCACTAGCCCCTCTACTCCAGGTCTGGTCACCCTGTTTCCTGGATGGGTCACTTCGTTTGGCTGACCGCCCTCTCCACTCCCTCGACCAGCCCCTCCCCTCTCTTATCACAGACCAGCCTAATCCTAAAAGAGAAAGCTGGCAAGACAAGATTCTTTCCCTACTCTTATTTTCTGGTGCAGTGCCAGGGGAATGAGGTGGGAAGTGGGCGCCAAGGTATGGCCATCTCTGAACTTGTCCTGGCTGGCAGAGTTCCCCTTCCCCCCAGCATCAAACCTTGCTGGATGCCACACAAGTAAGGAGGACAGGATGCTCAGAACAGAGTTTTACTGTTTTCATGTTATTGGAGCTCCAAAACTACTCTTTTCAGTCCAGCCTTGATCTGGTGTTAGGGCAGGGGAAAGTATCTCCTGGAACCAGACACTAAACCCAAAGGGGTTGATGCCAGGGTTCTAGGAATGCCTTGAATGGCATGAACCCTGGAGTGGGAGGATTCTCTCTCTTCCTCCCCTCCACGCCTGTAGTTGGAGGGCCTCTGAGCTGGGGAGGTGAGGAGGAGGAAAAGTTTCTTCTCTGTAGGAGCCTTGTCTTCTCTCTCTGGACTGTGGGTGGCTTGTGTGACCACTGATGCTTTCTCTGTACCAGGCTCTGAGGAGTAGATTCATCAGACAGGACTAACAGACCTCCCCCAAGTACACAGGGCACTAAGTGAAGACTGGCTATTTGTAGGCTTTGGACTTGTAAGGGGACAGGGAGGAGGACCCACAGCTTCCCTGGGAGATCAGCGGGCCCCCAAGAGATCCTGGTGCCAGGGATGAAGTAGGGTCCTGCCTGACTTTGCAGAGTGTGATGGCTGCCAAGCATAGTTCTGCCTTTGGGTCAGGCTTGGCACCCATTTTTCCAACACACTCAAGGTTGGCATGGCTTCCAGGCAGGTATTTTTTTCACATAAAAACTAAGCAAAAAGGAGGCCAGGGGATAATTTTTGCATCAGGATCTGAAAGTCTCAGTGCTTTCCCAGTGGGAACCGGGGAGCAGAGTTCTAGTTTCTCAAATGCTGATGTGGTTCTGCTGCTCCTACATAGTCCCTGGACTGTCTGAAGGACTGAGAAAGTCTTTGTAGAGTATGTAGTCTAAGTTCGGAATTCTTGTCCTCTGACAGTCTTCCATTTAGGGCTAGGAAACTGAATTAGTCTTTGAAAGGAAAGAGAGTGTACTGGCAGAGGGGATTGTAGGAATTTAGATTTGCTGTTCATGGAGAACTTCCCCATACCTTAATGTGTCCTGTCCTCATGGCAACCCTTTATAAGAGCCCTTTAGGGCCACTGATATCATTACTACCTACCTTTCCCGAATTGAGAAAACTGAGATGAAGAGAGTCTGATTCATTTGCCCAAGGCTGCACACAAGAAGTGATAAAACCATGACTAGAAGCCCAGTCCCTGTCTTCTAGGTCTACAGCTCTTGTGTACCATCTCAGGATCCCTTTCAGGGCCTTTCTTCCCGAGGAGTGGGCGAGCAGTGCGTGAAGGGGGCGTCAAAGCGGGTTGATGGCTGCCACCTGTAACTTCTGCTGCCTCCCACCACAGGCTCCCCAGTTTGGATCCCAGCTGCCGGACTTCCTTGGCCTAAGCTCCAGGGGACCAGCCACGCCCTGCAGATCGGAGCCTGGGGTGGGAGAAATGAGAACCTGGGGTGGGAGGAATGGGGCGTGCAGGAGGGGAGAGGAATTTGTCTGTGCACTCAGGCTCCATCAGCTGTCTGGATGGCTGCTTAACACCCTGCCTGTCAGCTGTTTTCCTTAGTGTGGACACAAACGCCAGGCCTCTTGTTTTTATTTTTCTCCTGAGAGTGCTCTCAGCTGTGAGCCTCCTAGTCCCTGAAACAGTGAAGTTTATAGTCTGTCCCGCGGCAAAGCTAGAGGGGCAGAGTCTCTGCTGTGATTTTGTTTTTTGGTCTTAAAAAAAACGAAACTGGGGAACTCTTTCTTCCCCAGGACTGCTAATGACAGACTCACCCTGTGCTGTTTAATAAGTTACAAATTTATAGCTCTTGGGCAGAAAAACATAAACACAGCCCTTCCCTGTGTGTTCTGTCTGCTTTGTGCCGAGGGGTGGCTGCTCATGCCTTTTCTCATTACTGTTTAGATGCTGGTTTGGCCATGAGTTTACCCCGTTTGAGTTTTTAGTTCTGGCTGGAGTTCCCTGGATAGAGTTCCCACACACTGAGATGCACTCCGATTAAGTTTTCAGACTCAACTCCTCACTCCCCTCGTTCATATTCCTAGTGTGCTTGGGGGGCTGTGACCAGAGCTGCTGTTCAGTACTGATCACGTGTGCCTGATGGGAGACAGGCACCCAGCTCAGAGCTTCATTCGTATTACCACGGACATTCAGACAGGGAGGTGTTTTATCTCTGCTTCACAGATGGGGAAACCTGAGATCTGGGAAGTTCACAGGGGAGCTGGGATTGGAACCCAGACTGATCCAGTTTCAGATCTGGTCATCTTAATTATAATAAGGTAGTAAGTGGTCAGTGTCTAACCAGGAGGAAGAGCCAAGGAATCTGCTGAATAATTGCTAGTTCCTTTAAAATTTCAGCCCTGGGGTCCATCCCCACGAAGTGGCCTCTGTGGCAAAGGGTGGGTCTGGTTCAGGCCTAGATAGCTTCGCCCTTCTCATCTCTTGTAGAGGAGACAGCTAACCATTGGCAGTGCCCAGTTGCCGCTGGGATCTAGACACGTCTTCTTCCAGCTTCTCAGCAGTCTTGACCCCCTGGAAAACAGTGCCTCATTGTCCTTGGGGGAGGTCTAGCGGGGCAGGGGAGTTGCCTGGGGCATTCTGGACTATGGAGCCTCCCTGTTTCCATGGAAAGTCTGGACTTTGGGCCTGCCTATCTGTATGGTGCCTCTGTTTCGGGCCATGGTCAGGGACCCAGCTGCTGGGCCAGTGGCAGAGGCACTGCGGAGTGAAGGTGCACTCCACTCAGCTCATGGTCTTCTCCTGGGCTGTGTAGTACTGAGGTGCAAAGCTGGGATTCAAACCCTGGTGTGTTTGAGTCTTCACCAGGTGCCCTTCCTCCTGTGCTTGGGCAGCAGACAGGTTAGGGTGGAGGGGTTCAGGTTCCTGGGAGCCATAGCCCTGCCACTGTGGGCTGAGGTTTTCCAGTGATCATCTCAGGATTCCTTTCTTCCAGCTTCTGCAGTGATGACTCTGCTTGGGCGAGGCTTGGTGGGCCTTCAGCTGGAGGGGCCATTGTTCCCCAGAAGCCAGAGCTCCCCTGAGGTGCGGAGTAGCCCTCTTGCTCCATTCACTCATCGTGTATGAGTGTAGCATAGTGATCCTCCAAAGCCTCCCTTGGGCCTTAGCTTGTTCCAAAGCCAGAGATGATGAAAAAACTTCCTCTGAGTTTCACTCTCATTCCAGCCCTTCCCTGGGTTGTCCTGGTCTCAGTGCCTTCGCCAATAACAACAAACATCTGTAGACCACGTTTCTCTTCTACAGTGTTTATAGAACTCTTTGCCGTGTTTATTGAGCACTTCCTGGGTGCAGGCACTCTTGCATTGAATTATGTCAGCCACAGGTTCTTGTCCTGCCTCTACCCATTTTATAGGTGATGAAACTGAGGCCATTTGGCACCAACCTATTTCTATAGGAGGGGGCTGTTGAAAACTTTGAAGGTGGAGAATTGAGGATGTCCTGTGGGAGGAAGAGAGGGAGAGAGAATTAGGAAGCTGCGTTTTCCCAGAAACCTTGACAAAGCAGCTGATTAAAAGGCACAGCTCACTTGTCCAAGTTCCGAAACTACTGAGTGGCTAGGCTGGGTTTTCAGTCCAGGCCTGGGATTTAAATGCAGAGACAGGCTGGTAACCATTTTTACACCCCTGTTTGAGACACTGGATGGAGTCCTGGTTTGCTGTTTATTTGATTGGTTTCCATTTGTAAGATGCTGCAGATCTTTTCAGCCCCCTTCCCACACTGCCATTCTCTGTTCAGTCTCCTCCGTCTATCCCTTTCCTGTTCTCTACTACTCCTGGTTCTTTCCTGGGGACACCATGCTCAGGATGGGCTGCTGGGCACCTGTGGTAGTGTCTCCTGGCCGGCAGGGAGGCCCCGCTCTTCCCTCCCCATGTCCTCCCCAGTCACCTGTTGCCCTCAAGACAGATTTGAGCTGACAGCCCAGCTGCCAAGAGGAGCCTGGGGTGGTCCTCTTCTGCGCTTTCAGCTTGGAAGTAGAAGCCTTCTGTGTCCCCTACCTAGTGCACACACATCCGGTCTCTGTTCAGGGGTTTGTACATTGCTGCCATTTGGAGCCAACCCATTTCCAGAGGAGGGAGCCG